GATGCCAGAGCAGGCTACAATCAAAGCAGCTCAATGTGATTGGCTAGAATTTAAATTGTGCAGAAGCAAGTGATAGAGCAGCAAGTGGATTGAAGTTCATCTAGGTCCTTTGGTTCATAGCAAGTGATAGAGCAGTAAGTGGATTGAAGTTCATCTAGGTCCTTTGGTTCATTGGAGGCTTCTCTCTGTTGATGTTTCTTCTCTTCCATCTCCTTGTTGCATTGGTCAGCTGTTTGAAGCTTTAGCTCTATTGTTTATATCATCTTTGAGTATGTTGCTCTTGTTTTGCAGCTTTGGTTATTCTGAGAATGTCAGCCATAGTCTGCTAGATTTGTATTGATTTGGTTTTAGGTCATCTATATGATGGGCTCTTTGTACCTTTGGAACATTGGGGAGAGATCCCCCGGCTTGTACTTTATTCTTTTGAATGAAATTATCTATCGTTTTGAAAAAAAATAAAATAAATAAATAAAATAAATAAATAACCCAGTCTCCTAGAAAATCCTGAACATAAGACAAGACACGTGACTAATAAGCCGAACAAATAACAAAATAAACAAATAACAAAATAAACGAACCCAATCATTAAATAATAGCTACATCCTACAGCCCGCTGGCCCGTTCTCTATGTAAGGATCCTCAAATGTTGCTGCAGTCTTCATGAAACTTGCGGTCCGTAGACAGATTCTGAAAGGCAGCTCTTTCCAGCATCGTCCAGCAAACGTTTGAGACAATCCTCGTACTTGGAACTTCCTCGAATCTCAGCACCAAAACACATGGGAATTTGCTAAACGAACAGTAACAGTAGTTGATTATGGAACTGCACCAACAGAGACAGGTTTTATAAAATAGGACCACCAACGAAAATTTTATCTACCTTCGCAAGCCACATTATGTAGGTGGCAGCATGGATCGCCTGTGCTCGATAATCCCCAAAATAATCTTCTTCATCACGGAAGTTTATGCACGAATCCAGTAGCATCAATTCATCTTTAATGAACACACTAATGTCGCAACTTTTGCAGCGAGAATCGGAGTAAATATTTCTTTGATTATCGTCATCGGACACTATATGTTGTTTCACCCAGACTAGAGAAAGAAAGCGACGGTGGAGCCATAATGCCTTGAGACAAGTACAGTGGAAGAGAAAAGAGAAAAAAAACAACTAGCTTATTGTATAAACCATGGGCTAATTACAAAAAAAATAATCAGTTGTGTACAATGAAAAGGTCCAATAATTTTTAAAATTACTAAACATACCCTTGAACAATGTTGTGGTATACAAATTATGCCTCTCCACATCCTGTAAATGCATGCAATTACAAAATGGACACATTTTTTTTTTTTTTTTTGTGTGTGTGTAATGATTATGAGAGCAGACGATGAATGTAGGTTTTGCATTTATCCCTATAGCATATGAACACAAGGTATCTGAATTCCCAAATCTATACACAAGTATATATTAGAAGTGCTGCAGTGACTGAAGTACCTCTCTTCCAAGATAACGGCTTATCAACATGCCAATCCAGTCGAGCTCATTCTGTAGTGCATTCAGTGCCCGATTTTAGAGAAATCAGGTTAAAAATATCACAACATAAACAGATGTACAGCTTGAAGTATAGGCAAAAAAAAAAGTAAAAAGCTACTATTACCAACATATATTACTAATAATAATTTTTCCTAGCTTCTTAATCCAAAAG